TGGAAAATATTCTTTGTTCGCCATTGGGTCGATCTTTGTCGGCGGGACCATCTATAGTGCGCTGAACGCGATAGCAGAAATTCGCTCTGGTTGTATCTATTATAAAACGCATAATCAAACAACTGTGGGCTGTAAAATAATTAAATGCTCTTGTTCGTTTCCCACGGTGGGTTCGGGCATGGGTGCCTGTACGACTCTTCCGACCAATTTCCCGCTTTCGGATTGTACTTGTACGTCGAATTCTCCACAATGTTTGAAATGCACAGCGTCCAAAGAAAATTCGCAGGGTAAAGAAAATTACGATCCGACGATATTACATGCAAACGAGGTGATCAAATGCGTTTCCAAGTCGATAAGCGAAACAATAGCGGATCTTTACAACCAGTTGCCTCGTTCGATTATAGGTTCGCTGACCAATTTGGGAAATATTGTCAAATATGTAATATACACGTTCATCGGATTCGGGTGTTGTTACTTGCTCTTTAAACTTTGGCGAAGCAAATCGAAGGCAACTTCACGTTCAGAATACTCGAATTATGCGGCGATAGGTGACAACGGACACAGTATGCATTCAATGGATTCAATGGATTCAACGGACGCAGCTGTAGACTCAAACGGTACCGGTTATCGTAGGGCCCGTTACGGTCTTGGGACAGCCGCCACTCGTTTTCAAGAGGCGGTTAATCAGTTGGAAACTAGACTAATGGATCGTTTATCCAAAGACCGCGAACAAACTCTTGACCGCATTAATACCGGATTGAACCAAATAAAAAATGTACTGGAAACGCAGATAGTTAGACCATTGAAAGATCACGGTACGCAAATTCAGAAAACCGGTAATGAACTTGTAACACTCTCGAACTATTTTAAAGTGCGTGATCAAATTAGCACGAGTAAAGATGTGGACGCTATAAAGAGCCTGGTATTTCAGATGCCGACGCAATCGGTTTTTAATCGAACCGTACCGTCGTCGTTTAATGCGAATCTTCCACAACTCAACTACAGCGACTCGTTGGTAACCTGAGAAATTTTTTTGAACACAATGCGCCTGGAAACTCTATTTGGTGCTACTCACGAGGATCGCATTCGAGTGGCACTCGGCATGGAAACGAACGAAGTAATAGAAAGTATTTTTTGCGATCAAACAGAGCACTACTGCCAGATCAACAAGGATCAATTACCTTGGAGTCAGATTGTTGAGCCGAAATTAATTGGTCGCTGTAAGCAGCTCAATAATTTCATCAGGCAAATGTTGCACATCAATTGCGGTTGCTATGTCATTTACAAATTTCTAAACTCGCCGCACGTAACCATGAGTCATCGAGTGGTTGAGAACAACAAAACGACTTTCATGCACGACATCAGTTTGAAGCAAATCACGAACGAGTTTCCTCAGCTCGAAAAAATGTTTTTCGACGTAGAGAACGTGCATAGGTTCAGAGCTTCGCAAACGCTGGTCGCCGCCAAGTCATCGCGTTCGACCAAAGGGGCTCCAACTCAAAGAAAATATCGACGGCTACTCTCAACGCCCCAACTTTACATCAGCCAATCAGTGGGAGGACATGTTAAACGGGACGGTCAGTTGATTCTATCTTTACCGTTCGACATTAGCAAATTTTTGTTACGAGATAAAATTGGTCGTTGTAAACACGACCATTTTACTGTGGTACGGGTCAGCGATCGTTCCCATGATGAGGGCGAATCGTTCTATAATGTATGCAATCTATGTTATAAGGCATTGAATAAACTTTCGTAACAATGAATTTGATTGGTTTTATTTATCGGAACGATGTGCTTCTCAAAATTCACAATATCGTTGGAGATTTGATAAAGCAATACCCAACGTTACTCGATAACGACGATTTGATTGCCTACAATGTCGAAGAGTTACGCGAAACCGTGCAAGACTTGATCAATACTCATTTTCAAATTAATTTACCTATCGATGCCATTGTCAATTTCTTTGCCGACGCTGTAACGAAACAAACGTTCAACGATAGGGCCTTTGAAATTCTGTACGATAGTATAGTGGCCGATAAAAATTTAGTTACTCGTTTAGTAAGCCATTTCATTGTGAAACGGAAAATCGAGCAACAGGTCCGTGATTTTCTGCAAGAGTACAAGGGTTTTATAAAAGCTGGTTACGATAGCACCAAGCTAATGTTTTGGAATACGGAAGGAGCGAATGAGAGCAATTTATGGTTCGAAAGGAATAAACCCATCATAAAGGCCCTCTTGACAAGTCTATTACAAAACGGCGTGCCGTCGTTGAACACTGATGAACACCGCAAGGAGAAGAATTATAAACGCAAGAAGGCCGATACACCTAGTACCCGTACGTACACTACTAACGTTTGATGGCAATTTCTATACACGTTCGATAAAACGCTTATTTTTTTTTGGCAACCGTTATATTCGGAAAATGACGCTTTTTCTAGCATAGTTTTCAAGTTGTGCGTCGGCCACTGTGACATGTGGACAAGCACAAACCAAAACGTGCACCGGCATATGTGCATTAGCTAAAAACGTTAGAGCCATAAATAGGCTCAAAATAATATTCTGCGGCACGATAAAACTCGTCATTATTAATGCCACTACGATCCATGCTAAGATGGTTTGAATTCCGAGTCCGGCGAGAATATCACAGTTGCGCCATAGTATATTGAAACGTTTATCTAGTTGATCGTCGAGTAAACTTTTGCATACGAAGCACATGTAGTTTATTTTCTCTAAGCGACCTTCTCCGTGATAATTGACAGGTGTTATGAATGGTTTTAGACCAGGATGCAATTCGTACTTGATGCCGTTATACGGTTCCTCGATATAATAGTAGTAATGCCTACACCAACTTGAACCGAGAAAGGATTTCAGATAAACCTTGTACATGTTTATATATGTCTTATAGCATAAGATGGTCGTTTATCAAAAAAATGAAGTGACTTTGACCAACGTAAAGATTGTACCAGTTTTCTTTGTTATCCGAGAACGTTTAGAAGCTGTGAAACGTTATTTAACATCCTTCTCGCTAGATTTGTCCAAATATGTAAGGAACGACGGTATATTCATAAATGATGAAATCGTACCGATTTTATTACACCTTTACACTGAATTGACCCCTAAAGATCTGGTTCCCGGCATCGACTTGAGCGGTAACAATGGCGAGAATAAACGATTCTTTTCCTTTCGATTGGCCAGTACGTTGTACCAAATATGGCGTAAATGTCTACAACTAGAACTTGCGACGCCGCGGGAAAAACAATTAAAACTCAATCTCGTTCAGCACATGTGGAATTTTAATCAAGAATGCGTTTCGTCTGAAGAAAGAAATAGACAATGTGTCAAGTTTACGTTTAAATCATATAGGGTTCCTAGTAACATATGGAAAATGGACGATATATCAGCAGCAATTTTTCTCATTCGGTTTCTACTCAGTTTGCCTACTAAAGTAAAGTTGCCATTGAACGTTGATAATGTCGAAACAAGAGTGGCTTTTATATTGCAGTTGTTTAAAAAACGCGATCTGGATACTTTGAGGGGCGATTGCGTGGAATGGAAAATCAATCGCTATAAAAGTCGAAACAAAACGGTAAATCAATCAGAAAACATTAACACAAGTTTACTCGAATCAGATATACCGACAGAACGCACCGATATACCGACAGAAGGTCCCGATATATTGACAGAAGGTCCCGATATATTGACAGAAGGTCCCGATATAGCGCAAAGGATAGATACTTTGAATAAGAAATTACTTTCAAGTATTCACGACTTTGAACTAGGAGAAATTGTGAACAATTTACTAACGGAGGAGAATCATGAGTAAGAGAAATATTAATGAAGCTTCGGACTTGGAAGAAGTTAGCGGCGAATCGATGTCTCTGTGGCAGACGCAACTAGGACAATCAACAACAACCCCGTCACGCAGCAGTGAACAACAATCTGAAAACGAAGAGGAAGAGCAAATTCGCTTAAACGAAAACGGGAATAGTAATATTCTCGTTTCGGCGCCCGTAGAAGATACCAACAAGATTGTACGTGATTTTTTTGCCATGAAAAGGGAACAACTATTCTCCGATGTCCCTGTCATGGGTATAGGGCCTACTGGTCCCGATCAAATCACTACCGCCGTTACGCTGGCGGGGGCTCTAAAATATTTCGGTGTCGAAGAAGCTTCAGACATGGTCAACTTTATTAGCGATGAAACGTATGAAGAGACTAAATACATACCCCGAGAAGAGCGTATTAAGCAACTGGTCAACGATAAGGCTTACCGACGTTTTCGCGAACAATTATGCGATTTCGTACATGTGATACTAGGTTCTTGCTCAAATAACACGGCCAGCAACTTGGTGGAATATATTAGCTTGCGGGGTCGATACCTAGGTCTAGACCAAGTGGCCGGTGAGTCCCATGTGAATGCCATTATCAGTTTTGCTGGTATCGAGGAGATAAAATTGACATCGCAACGAAGGTTTCAATCGTTACGCGACCCGATGATCAACAAGGAAGCGGTCCGTCAATTTTTGTCCAGCAATAACGTGAATACGAAAGATATACCTATTTATCGAATCGTAATGGCACAAAAGGCGAGCAAATTCTCCGTCGATTGGGAGCCATCCGAAAATCTGGTCGCAAAGTCGACGAGTCCACTAAAACAACCAGAATGTCCTGACGTTCTATATTTAGCGATTACTTCCAGAAATGGGCTATTGAACACGCAAACTAAATTTGTTCGCAACGAAAACGGACAGAAGGAAAAGAAAGCGTACGTTTTAATGGAGGCTTTCCTTGTTGCACAATTTCGAATCAAACCGAAAACAGCGTCAAAAGTTGTCGTCAGAAAACGTTGAGGAAGAAAGCTTGACATTTCTGTCATTACCACCGTCGCCAGGGATATTGATCATTGAACGGAAAAAAAACTAAGCGGTGGTCATCTTGGTTTTTTAGGCTAGCGAATTTATATAATTGTAACGTTGATATGTATGTACACTAAAGGGTTTCTATGTTATATTCTTGGCTTTTATTGCGCGATAAAGGTTTTCGATGATTGAATTGTGAATTTCATTATTGCCAAATCGAACATAAGCACATAACCAAATTAAAGGCGCTACAAGCAGTACTAGGGGTTTGGCGAAAAATATAGTCAACGCTATGACGGTAATCAAAATGAACAAAATGATCACCGTCAGGCATTGACGAGCCTGTAGTGTCTCCGTGTAATTAGTTAAATCGGTCTTTTGCATAAGATGAGAGAAAATTTCATAACGGGTCATCCACTCGTCGGTATTTCGCACAATGTCCCTATCCCAGTCGTAACGTTGTCCAATTGAATTTGACGTTCTGGCATTTAAATATTCGCTTAGACATGAAATTTGAAAAAGGGTCTGGGTATGGTAGAGACGAGGCCTTTTGATTGAACCACTATCGGTACGACGTGCAATCGTATCCGAACCTGACGTGGTGGAACTTTTGTAACGAGAGTGGGCGTACGAAAACTGAGACTTGGGTTCGGGCATTGGTGTGGTTGTCGTATTATCGTTAAAGTTTTCATTGAGCACGAATTTCGAAAAGAAACTGGGATCTATTTCGCAGTTTGGATCGCCAGTTTTGTAACGTGTAACTATTGCCTGTTCTCGTAATATTTCTAAAATCTGGGAATCGATCTGATTTTTAAGACCAAGCGGATCCCAACCTAACATGACCGCTAAATCGAGGAAAAGCGCAATATCGGCAACGACACCAATTACAGTTGAGCTGACGGCAGCCATCCTGGTCAGCATTAAAGTGAACTTTGTAGTAGACTTTACGATCAAATATGAGGCAATATGTCCCATTTCGTGACTGGCTATTGTGTCAATGATACGAGCCGAATTAGATGCCAGTACTTGACTCATATTCGAAAAAACTTTACTCAATATCTCCTTGAACTCGGGACCTAGTTTCTGACTGAGCAAATGCCAGGAATAATCGACCCCGACTTGTACGTAAAAATCCTTTTGTACAAGCATTTGCATTATGACAGAAGCGATACGACTGAATCGATCTCCTATCGAATCCCAGTCGAAAAATGACGAGAGATTTTGTTTTGTGGCTCGGGTTTCACGGACGGAACGACGACGACGATGATTTGTTTTCGCAATTTCACCTATGGGTTCTAGTAATCGAAGATATTCAGTTCGGGACGAGGAACGATTAGTCGTATATTCGACGGAATCGTAAAATAGAAATCGTTCCACAATGCCCGATGAATTATGAAATAGAAAATGGCCCCGTTTTTCTTGGGACAACATGGCAGGCGTAAACCCCAAATCGCTCAATAGTACGTCGGGCTTAATCATTTTGAATGAATCGTTAATATGTCTTTTCCAAACATGTTTGTCTAGCATATAGGCGGGTAGGGATTTCAAATCGGGTTCGAGCGACACCTGATCTCGTGTACCGGCGTTAGGACTGGCGGCCTGGTCTATGAATTTAATCAAACTTTGCCCCAAAAACGTATAACCGAGTACTTCGCTCCACCACGGCTCTTCGCAATCGTCGCCTTTTAACTCTTGGAAATACGCGTCGCAATAATATTTGTTTATGCGGCCTTTAATAGTTGGAATATTGTACGTATCTGCCACGAGGCGATACGTCGAACCCTGTAGCTAAAGTGTTGACACGACGCACGTATTTAGTACTTGCCCTGACCGTAGGATTGGTCATCCAAGCGTGAATGGCGCTCGACACCCAATAACATTTGCCATTGTGATACTGTGTCTGCAACGAATGAACGCCGGTACTGGTAGACGGTATGTCGTTACGAAAGAAACATGCCGGCTCGCAGGCCGTCCATGTGGTGTCGCCCGATCGAAAAGCGAAAGGTGCATCCTTGACCGTGCAGTCGAATTTTTGGCCACTAGGATTGCAACTAATTTTCGTGCAGCCCGTTTTAGTCCAAGTCCAATCTACCCAAATTGCCCAATCAGCAAACTTTTTTTCGTAAACGTAATCCTGAGGTGAGATGGCCGGTCGGATCACTATATCGCACCAACTGAAAATTTCAGGGTATTTGTTTGCCATTTTCTCGGCCATAAAAAGCTTTTGACGTTGTGTCGCATACGTGGACATGTCCAAATAATCGGCATTTTGTGGTACTATTTCGTTGGTGTCGTTTTTTTCCATCGGATGGCATCTTAAAAAATTACATATCCCATAACGGAAACGAATCGCTAAAGAGTCCTTTATAGGTTCCACTTATTTTGGCCTGCTTGGTGCGTGCCATTTCTTTTACTCGCTCACCGACCGAAGACACGATAGAATTTGAAAAGTACCCACAGCCATTGACAAAGACTTTCAGATCGTGCTCGTCGCAAATATCAATGGAAGGTTTACCATCTAAACACATACCCGTGCCCGATTTGTTTACATAATATAAGCCGAGAAATTCGATGCCCGCATCGCAATCGTTGGACGCATTTTCGATCCAACCCGGCGAAATTTTTTCGATTATCAATTGTTCAGTCCAAACGCCGTTATGATTATTGTTCAGTATTGATGCGGTATCTGAAGGCACGTTCAAGTATTTCGCATCGATAATGAAACGTTGTGTGCCGAAATAAAAAAGAACTCCGTCATATTTCACACCGTCGGTGTTGTAGTAATGTGTCCTGTCGGACTCGAATGAGGCAAACGAATCGTAGGGAATTAATCTTGGCAACGCGTCGCCGTTACCAGTAATATTGGACGAAATTGCGGGATCGGCACGCAGAAATTGTAACATTTCTCCTTTTGGTGGAATTATATCGTACTCTTTACATGACCCCTTTTCGAGATATTTGTCTGGCGTCCAATAATATAGAGTCTTACCAGTCCCGTCTTCATGTACGAGCTTACGCGTTAAAATAGTGGAGCACGTGACTTTGACAATATTGCCATCAACGCAAGCCGTTTGTCCAACGGGAACTGTTTTTGGCGTAACTTGTAACGTTTCCAAATATTCGACAACAAACGCAGTTGAGCCTGTGCATTTGTAAAGGCAATTGATACGGGAGGCATCGACTCCTAGCCGACAAGTAATCTTTGTGCCTTCCAACTGGTCCCTACAGAGAAAGTATGAATGATCATCGTTAGGTACGCGAAAATTGTCCGCTAGAACAAATTTTTGTGACCCTCCTCCTACGGATTGAAACGTTTTATTGAAACACGTAGGATTGATGCAACGTAAACCATTGAAAACAGGACTTGCTTCGGGACACGATGCATGCACTACAACGCCATTTTGGCATTGATAATATTTCGTACTGTTTTTCACGTCCGGCCAAATATAATTATCGCTTTTCATTTCACATTCGCTATATTCGCGACACGCCACCAGTTGCAAATCGAATTTCTTATTTTGGCAAAGAACCAGTGTCGGGTTGGCTCCCTGTTCTAAACATACCCAGTACCCGTACTGATAAATGTTTGATAAGCCTCCTCCAGTTTCCGTTGTTTTATAAAAATGGGCAAACTCGTCTTGCCTAATTGGAACGTTACCTTTCTGTTTACAGTACGGTTTCGATACAATGCCGTTGTCGACTAGTTCCAAGTTCATATCCAAGTTAAATTCCATAAACAGTTGACGTTCATGAGTAAGCGTATCGGTGCGATATAATTGTGTACCTTCAAAGTCGTACGTAAAAGATTGGGCTCGCCATCTTCCGTGCTCGTAAATTATGCTATTGCCCGGTTCTAGGCTGAACGAATAAAGTACGACGTCCCAATCGATTTCACCGCTGATTGAAGAATACGGAAAAACTTTTACTGTGCCAACATTGGTGACGGCGGGTATCGTCGTTAATTGTGCGTCTTCCGCAATGCCCATCATAAACGTTTGCAAAGTTTTATCGTCCATTTGTCGTGTCGGAATTAGCATATAAATGGACGCAAATAAAATTATGAGAACGAGTATTAACCACATAAGCAGGTCATTATAATTGGTGCTCCTTGAAACTAACTACGTTCTACTATGGCGTCTCCGAGTTGCATGGGTCCGCAGAAGAAAATAAGCATAAACGTCGATACGAGCAAAACGCCGAGGCTGCTTTCTTCGGGCGCCGCTTATCAGCTAAAAGTATTTCAGGCAGCTAGTTCCTTTGCCACCGAAAATAGTCACCTTCAGATGCGCTGGTTTTTCAATTGTAAAGGAGAAATTGTTATAGATTCGTTGGTGCGCGTCCCTTCCGACCAATCGCTCGTATTGTACGATGGGAAAAAGAACGAGCAGTACGACGAAGACAACGAAATTACGGCTAAACGTTCACGTCTTTCAAAACAACTACCTCTCCAAAACGCGAGCATTTCACGACAATTGCAAGAATTGAAAATCGAGGTGTACTCCGATTTGGAATATCATTCATCTAACGATGATTGGTCTATCGTGATCGATCGCGACATGTTTTCGGTCAAAGGAAAAAGCCTAATTGAGAAATTGACGATGAAATTCAACGCATCTCTGGAATCTGATCGATTTTACCGCATTTCTTTGCGACGATTTTCGAACGTTGTCGTCAACAAGGGTCGCTGTGCTCTACAAAGACCAAAGCGAGCATTCGTAATTAAAACCGATAAACACGAATCGGTAGATGAATGTTTATCACCCAACGAAGATCAACAGAATATCGTCAAAGAAATTGAAAACGTTCTCGATCGCTTGTCGTCAACGACCGATTCGAAAGCCAGTTCGAAATCCAGTTCATATGCCGATTCGAATGTTATATTGGTAAACAGCGTAGCGGGATCGGGAAAGACGACCATGTTGTATTTTCTTCGACATAGGAAAATTCTCTATTTGGCGACATCGAAAAAATTAGTTGCTGAGGGAAGTGAGTACGGTGTTGAGGCGCAAACGATTTGCAAATTTTTTATGAAAGCTTTCGGTTGGCGTTTCGATGAGTACGTCGAGGCAGTGGAAGAACTGACCAGTGGTGACAGTTGGGAAAAATCGTTTGAAGAAAACCATTACGACGGTATTAAAGAAAGATACGACATTATCTTTATAGATGAAGTATCTTTGATTCAATCGACTTTACTACGTGAGCTTACACGAATCGCCGGACGGCATACTTTAGTTGTCACGCTAGTCGGCGACGTCAATCAATTATCTGCCATCGGAGCCGACGAACACGATCTGTATAAATGTCTTAGTTACGTGGACAGAGTATTTTTTATCAAGCAACATATGCGCTCAAAATGCGATCCACGATTGACGGGATTGTTGAGACAGTTCGAAGCTGGCGATGCTGTAAATTTCGACACGTTGAAGACGCTGCAAAAGTCCGAAATCGGCTTAAGGCAGCTTTTCAACTATGATGGATCTTTTCGAGAGTTTCGATTCATTTCCAAAAATAACAGCAACGTCGTTTTACTGAATATGGCATTACTTAAACTGAGATACATTCTATTTGAAACCGAAACTTATTTTGAAAGATGCCATTTAGTGACGATGAAACCGGGCAAAGTTGACGAAGACCTCGTTAACGAAAACGATATCACGGTGGCGCTCCAGGTAGGTGCGCCGTACGTTTGTTTGGCGGACACTTGTAAACCCAAAGGGACCAGATTTCGTTTGAAAACAATCAACAGAGGCGAAGACGGATTGGTAATGTCCGTGGACGTCGAGCATGACGACGGAACAATTTTAACTTTGTATCGGAGGATGCACGAATACACGCTGTATGGTCGGGAACATTCCCGCGTAGGGTTTCCCTTGCTGGCAGACTTGGCCGTGTCAGTACACCGTTGCCAAGGTAGTACATTCAAAGGGACCGTGTACATCGAAATGAACAAAATGTCCCGATGCGAGGCCTACGTATGCCTATCTCGGGCGACACACTTGCGAAATATTCAACTTTTGTGATCGCCCAAACTATAAAACTGGGCCGCGCTTGAGACAGAATTCGTTCAACTATAGTGGGATTTTCTGGGTTTTTGATGCCCAAAATATAAAATTGGGCTGCTTCAATGACATCGTACGATAACGTGAACGGGTTCCTAGTTCCAAGCGATGACGAGTTCCTTATGATGAATGATTCCTACGCAAAAAGATTACGAACGTTCGAAGATTGGCCTTTGCGATCGTTTTTAGCGCCTCATATTTTAGCGGAATGTGGATTTTATTACACCGATTATATGGATCGAGTCGAATGTTCCGCGTGTTCAATACGGCTACAGGACTGGGAAGAAAGCGACGCCGCCAACGTCTGGTTGATACACGTTAAAGCGAATCCATTATGTAACCATTTATTATGCTACAAAGGACTTGAGTGGATCAGAGAGCAAATAAGTCGCCCGACGCCCGTATCGTTCAGGCACGATTGTAGAGGGAACAATTACGATGAGATGTTCGACTTTAACTATTGTAGCAGCGATTTGAAAGTGTACGAGTTTTCACCTGTATGCGTCAGATGCCAACGCAACTATTTGAGATGCCGTTTCCTACCGTGTGGACACGAACCTTGTTGTATCTATTGTAGTCCTAATGTACGATGTTGTCCTGTATGTAAATGCCCAATTAGCTTTAAAATAAATGTTACCGAATCGTTGGAGAACGCATTAACGAAGTAGCCGTTCCGTTTTTTTTCTGTTTGTCAATAGATCTCAATGCCCAAATAAAATACCAACGTGTTTTCTTTTACCCTTGCTCCTTGAGCGTGTTATACTGATACCATTTCAAATCAGGTCAGCATGACCAAAGTTAGAGGTGCACAATAGCTGAAAATAGCCGAAAATTAAATGTTGTACATCAAATAAAAACGACAGGTATTACTAGCTCAACTCAACTTTAGTGACAATATAGTATACAATCGTCTGATTATTCGGATATAATACTAGCGCAAATTGTACATTTGAAATCCAGCGTGCTATACATGGTTTGTAAGTAGGCTCTTGCTTCTCCGTTCGTACACGTACGGCAGAAATCAAATACGCACGTACTCAAAAAGTTATGAACGTGGTATTTAATCATCAGGCCGCATAAACGCTTCGGTGAAAAGTCTCTCTTGTCGTCGTAAAAAGTATTGATTGAACATTTAGCTCGTAAAACGTTTAAAATTAGACCCAATTGATCTGCATATGCTTGTTTGGATTCGTTCGGCAAAAACTTTCTGGTTGTTAGTTCATCTACGAACAGCATAGGCATCGAAAGATTTTTGTATGGTCCCCAACCGTTTGCTAAATCGTTGACGAATAAATAGTTCATCAACTCTTTGAACAATTCCAAATACCCACTGCACAAACAGTGAAGAGGCCAATTTCTTCGCACAAGTAATAGTCTATTTGTCACTTCCGGCCTGATCAACTTCAACATGTGCAGAAGCGGAGATATTCCATTCATAACTGGCAGAAAGTCCAGGTACGCTATCATTTGCTCCGGCACGAACACTTGCAACTGTATGAAATTCTCTTGATCTTTTCGGAAGGTGGGATAAAGCCCCAATTTGCAGCCTACCACGTAAACCATATTAAATGGACCGTGCTAATACAATGATACCTACAGTGGATACCTGAGGGCTATTTAAACCAATAATCAGCGACCACAAATATGTGCAAAACGTTTAGAAATTTAGTTTATGTTGCAGTAAAGGTACTATTTGGGGTCGGTTTAACGGTAACTGCTCTAGATCGGATTTATAATGTCAACGTGGTATCCGAAACATAGGTACCGCTTCAAGTTTTTTGTAAGGTGAATTCGCATAATGTTTTTCTTCACATTGTTCATCGTTCTTTTACTCGTGGGCTTAGTTTCACTGCAAATGTGTTATTTCGTAGATACTCGTAGGGGTTTCCGGCGAGCACGAATCTCTTATACGCCCCGATATATTCCCAGCTCGGATGTTGATTACATGCTTGCCCTTTTCAATTTGCAAAATCAGAGTTCAAAGTATATTAACCTCTTTTATTCCTATATTCGACATCCGACATCGTAATCTCAGAGCGTAATATAAACCTGCTGATGGGGCATTAGACAGTAGTCGCCAGAAAAGGAGACGTTGCACCGTCGGACGATGCTATATTACACCGTAATCTCAGATCGTAATATAAACCTGCTGACGGGGCATTAGACAGTAATCGCCAGAAAAGGAGACGTTGCACCGTCGGCCGTTGATCGTTGATCGTCACAAGGAAATTTGATATGGACAGTAGCAAAAAGGCCAATGCACTTGCGATGCTGACGAATGTAAAACGGCCTTTTTGCTACTGTCCGTAAACTACAAAGAATATGTATGCCTATGGTCAGGAAATCAAACAACTAAAGCTGAATAAAACCTTTATTAATTACTTATAGCATTCAAACACTGATAGAGGATGACCCTGGTTGTTGTTTTTCCAATCTCGGTATAGGGTAAACGATTGTCCTGAGGATCTTCGCTCTCCGATTTACGATCGCGGTTGTTTGCTATTCGGCGGTAAATGTTCATCGTCAAGGTATTGGGACAATTTACGTTTCGGGGCAGCCATATAATTGAAAATTACCGATTTGCCACAACATTTAGTCCATTCGAATATCATCTGCAACGAATAGGGCAGTTGAATAGTGCCTTGGGTCGAATTGTAATGCTCCGTCGATTTCTGATATAAGGAATTGGGTATGAGACTGGCGAGCGTTTTAGCTGTATTTTTATCGATACGCATCGGATTGCCCGTCTCTGAGCTCTGAAAATTATCCCAAGGAAATTCGTTGAGCAACTTGAAACGAACGTAGCCCCCGGTACCGATATAGGTGCCATTATGAAAGACACGTTCGGCCGTTTCCATTTGTTCCGTGATGCATCCGAGCGAACCTTTGGCAACAAGCGAGCCAGGATTTATCGTTACGTCTACTCGTCGGCCGTTCTCTCTTAGCAAGTTACGGAAATCGGCATACTCGATCATTCCTTTATTGCCGTGACAATTGACGATTTTCGCGTTATACCTGGGATTGACGTAATGAATTAAAACGATGACGACAAACGTTTTATGAAACCGTTTAAAATCAATCTCGACATCGTCAAAAGGGACGTCGTGCAAAAGCTCAAGATAAATTTCGTAACGATATGGGGGCGCGTTACGGTTGCTCTCTACGATCGTAAATTTTTTACTCTCGACCTTCAATGGAGACGCACTCAATAAATAGCCAAAGTAGATTTTATGCCCGATCGTTGGAATAAACCATATTTTCCTATCTGGAATAAAGGTAATCTTTTGATTGAGCGTGTCCTTCTTCAGGTCGCAGGTAAACTTTGTCGTTAGTCGAACATTGAAATCCACATGGTCGCCGACCACATATCCATCTTCCACGTTTCGGTTCTCGAAATCGTAGAAAACTGCAAAGAGCCTAAGCTCCTTATCGTAGCTGCCTTGCGTTTGTTCGTGCGCTGTGGTCGATGAAAACTTACACATAGGCGCAATAAACTGTCTCTTTATCGCCGTGACAGATACGTGTAGTTTTGACAGTTCGGTATTCCAAAAGTATGGAAACTGCAACGAATAGACGTCGCAGTTCTCGAAAAAATAATACGGAACAAATTGGAATTTGATCTCACTGTAGTTGGTTAAAATATGGCGTCGACACCATCCCAACGGTGGATCGTAAACGTTACTTTTAGGCATCAATGGATGACGGCTTAAAGTCATTTTACTACACGAACACGATTCGAGTTCGTTAACGGTCAGTGGGAATAATAGAGATCCGCTTTGTAGGCGAATATGATAAAAAAATTCACCTAGCTGTACAACGACGCATTGCGGATTAAACGACTTTAACTTGAAATAGAAATCCTCAAAGGTGAGAGACACGCGGAACACAGTCAGGACGGAATTGAATACGATTTGCCATCTGCCGTTCTCGTCGTACAATGGTAATAGTTTCATCCACAATTTGGCGCATTCCCGGTCGGAACAAAAAACGATGTGCGTACTGTAAACCAAATTCATTCGTTTTCCGGCCGAGGAAATGTTTCCAATATTCGTATTGGCCAAGATGCGTTCGTGGTTTTGAGGTATAAACATGGTCGAGTTGCGTTTATTGTTCTGAGACGAGCATCGTTTTACTCGATTAAACGGCGCTCTCATAAAGTAGGATTTTTCGAATAATGTTTGCATGCCCATCGGCGTCGTCCCATCCTTACCGCTTTGTTTTCTAAACGTACCCGCGCCAGTTACTTTAATAGAGTCCAAAATATTTTTCGATATCTCTCTTTGCGTTTTCGTTTGAATCTGATTGGTCTTTGAAATGAGAAAAGCCATGTTGCCGGTACGGATGATTGTGCGAAAATCCTTCACCTGAGTTAATCCCAATTTTTCAATCCGAAACCGTAACTGCGAAAACCAAAGTTTCAGCAAGTACGGATATGTGATGACAAACTTGTTGTCCATTTCATCGATGTTTAGATTCTCGAGCCGAACAGCATTGAAGAATTCCGTCCATTTTTCCGCATTATTCTCGATGAGCGTAGGACAGTCCCAGCCCAGACTTTTCGTGAATGGATCCGTTAGTGAAGCGACATCCAAGGGATGCTCGTAGGCGTTCGGAAAACGACACCAAATCGTCCCGTCCGAAGACTGCAATAGCATGTAGCCGTCGGAGCTGTCGCCATAGTAAAACGCTCTCGGTTCCATGCTTATTTTCCCGTTTAGGTTGTATTTGTACAAATGAATTTGTTTGACGTTGTTGCACAAAAAATACGGCACGTGACAATAATCTCGATCCTTCATCGAGCCAATAAATCCTTGTCGTATATCGGCCGGTGAATATGTATCTAGAACGCTTCCGATCACCACGTACAATATTTTGCAGAAATGATGTTCACCGATGTTAAAACAGCACATGTACGGTTCGGGTCCGAAAAACATTTGCTCAACGTCAATCGTGATATCGTTACAGATAAAGGCGCCAATTTCTCCGTACAATTTGTCAATCATATTGATAAACTGGATTTCGTGCCATTGCCGAGAACGTATTGTGTCGAGAACATTCTTAAGCGCACCAATGGAACTCTCGTCAGAGGAGAAGCACCCTGAGCGATTGGAAAACACTTCCTCTTTCAAAGGACAGCTGTCGCTCGCCCCGATAGATGGTTCTAAACTTGCCAAATTATCCACCTCCATACTAGATACCTGGCCAACGATTGTACCAAACTACAGTCAAATTTTACGTCGTTCTTTATCTGACCGAGACGGGTACCTTTCGTCCGCCATTTATATAGGGCTATTTAACGCACTACCAATACGGCATGTGCAAGATCAAAAACTTGATGCTCGATACATTGTGCAAACTTTTCCCATCGAAGCGGCTCTGAGCGCCTTAGCGGTCGAGAATAACGACGAAGAAAAACATAAGCTATTGAAGCAAGCTTGGAAATTGGCGTTCAACGACAAAGGTGTCGGTGGCCGGGAAAGCGACATAGATGTTATACAAAGGAAAGAACTCGTCATGGTCCAGGAAATTGAAAAAATAAACGAATGGCGAGAATGGAACCGGGAAAATGAAAGTCGGCAAGAAAATGTGGGCGTCGGTCGCGTCGGCGATCAACAAATATTGCAATACGAAAGTTACATACGTCTATTACAAGACTACTACCAATTCA